ATCAATTTGATGTATTATGTATAAATTTCGATTTCTTATGAGCTGATTAATCAATTTTGATTGACTAGGTTTTATACGGTTTTCTTAATTATTATGAATTGAATTTTATGTAATTTTCTGCATTTTTTCAATCAAATTTATGTATATATTTTTATGCTTTATATTAATTTTATAGATTATGTCTTGATTTACTGAAATTGATCATATAATTTTGATGAATGTGATATTTTTGATTAATTAATAATAAAATCAATTGATTTTTGTTCGTATAATTATGTCTTGATTTTGCGCTAATCTTGATTTTTGTATGATTACTGTGATTAATTGTTGCTTATTGCGTGCTGCAATTGTTTGTTGTTATGATTTTCGTAATTTTTAATTTATTCTGAATATTGTCTCTTAACTAATGAACATTACATTTATAATTATGAAACTATGAACATTGTTTATTACACATTAACTTTGATTCTTAAATAATGAACACTACATTTAAAAATTATGAACTTATAAACATTGTTTATTAAATAATGAAAATTGTCTATTATATGATGATAATTGAGTCTTAAATAATGAGCATTACTTTTGATATCGAATATTTTCTTTGTATTCTTTTAGGTGTCTAATGAATATTCTTTACATATTTATGAATTTACTTATTATACATTATGAACATTCAGTGTTATTTATTTCAGATACTCCAGTTGAAACTATATACACATAAGCTAAAGAATCTGAATTAATGAGGAAAACAGTAACTAGTGATGATGAAGCATATAATTTGTACAATGATTATGCTTTTAATATTGGTTTTAGTATAAGGAAGGGAAATATAAGAACAGTTGGTAAGACTTCTGTTTGGCGAAGTAGGAGATATGTATGTTCATGTGCTGGTTTGAAGAATGACTCTAAGAGGCATGTGAGGAAGTTTGAGAAGTTAGATTTTCGTACAAATTGTGGCGCTTTTGTGGAGTTTATTATTGATCCAGGTGTATGGACTGTTGTGGATCATCAGATGGATCATAATCATCCTTTTATACCAATTGACAAAAGACATTTGTTAAGGTCTCAAAGAAATGTGAATAAAGAGCAATTGAAGGTCATAAGTGTAATGAAGGCAAGTGGTGTTAGGGTAACTGATTCACTACGTCTTTTGTCCAAAGAAGTTGGTGGTTTGCCGAATCTTGGGTGTACTCGAAAGGATATATACAATGCTTTGACTACTGAAAAGGCCAATAGACTTGATGGCTCGGATTGTAATCAATTGATCAAGTATTTTGCTCAAAGGCAAGCAAAGGAAGCTGATTTCTATTATGACTTTGAGGTAGATGAAGGAAATTCCCTTACTTGTGTTTTTTGGAGAGATGGAATAATGAAAAGGGATTATGAACACTTTGGTGATTTGATGGTTTTTGACACTACTTATAGAACAAAAAAGTATGGCATGATATGTGCCCCTTTTGTTGGTATGAATCACCATTGTAACAATGTCATGTTTGGGATGGGATTTGTTCTAGATGAGAAAACAAGCAGTTTCATATGATTGTTTGAGTCTTTCATGAGATCAATGGGTGGTGGGCGTCATTCGATTACTATAATGACAGACCAAGCACCTTCTATTGCAGCTGGTATAAGAGAAGTTTTCCCAAATTCTAGACATCGTCTGTGTACATGGCATCTTACGGAGAACTCAAAAACAAATATCGGTAAATTCAGAGTTTTGAAGGGGTTCACTGATCTTTTTTATTATCTGCTCAAGTACTGTGAAACTGCTGCTGAATTCGAACATTATTGGCTAAGGTACTTCATTATGAACTTTCTTTATGAAACAGTGAATTTATTATATTAAAACATGAACCTATGTTTTAATTTAATTATCTTTAATTTTGTTGTTGCTCATTGTTATTTATATGAACATGTTTACTATTATTTATGATCATATTTAGATATTTTATGCATTTATAAGTTTATTTTATGAATTTGTGTTTTTATGAATTTGTTGTTATAGTATGAACCTGTATACTGGTTATTTTGTATGTTGTTATTCTGGCACATCATTATGAACTTTCTATATGAAACATCGAATTTATGATTTAAAATCATGGACATATGTTTTAATATAATTATCTTTAATTTTGTTGTTGCTCATTGTTATTTATATGAACATGTTTATTATTGTTTATGATCATAATTAGATATTTTATGAATTTATAGGTTTATTTTATGAATATGTGTTTTTATGAATTTGTTGGTTTAGTATGAACCTGTATACTGGTTGTTTTGTTTGTTGTTATTCTTATGAACTTCATAAACATTTTTATGAACATATATAAATATATTATGAACATAAATATGTAATATATGAATATAATGTTTATTAAAGTGAACTTTCTTTTGCTAGGATGATGAACAAGTACAATTGTAATGATAATGATTGGTTAAATCATTTGTACTCGATCAAAGAAAGATGGTGTCCAGCCTATTCTAAAGAATATTTTTCCGGAGGAGTTTTGAGTTACCAAAGGAGTGAAACCACAAACCGTTCGATTTCTCATAGATTGAGGAAGACGGATGGGTTGTGTGATTTTTACAAGACTTTTCTTGATGTTATGGCTGAGTGGAGGAGTAAGGAAAGTAAGCAGGACTTTCGGTTTTTGAGAGGTAATCGTCATTTGGCGGTTGCTAATGTAAGTCTTCTTATTCATGCTAGAGAGGTTTATACAATTTCGGTTTATATTGTCTTTGAAGATCAATTTGCAAAAGCTATTTCTTGTTCTCTAGAGAGAAAGTATGAAAATGATGAGACAATTAGTTACTTGGTATGGAGGCCTAATAAGAATATTATTAGGCATGAGGTTGTTTTAAATAAATTCACTAGGGTAATCAATTATACATGTAAGTATTGGAGTGAAATGGGTTTATTGTGTTCACATTCCCTTCATATTTACAACATTCATTGTGTTCAAAGGATACCCGAAGAATACATAGTTAAGAGATGGACCAAAACCGCGATGTGTAGTCATGTGGTTGATGAAGATGTTGTTCAAGAGAATGTGATTTCTTCTTCTATTTAGAGAGCTCATATGTTAAGAAATTTTGTTCAACTTGTTACATCTTGCCAAGATCACCTTGCAGCACGAGCTGAAATTGAATATACATTCGAAATGTTAAGGGAGAAGGTTGAGAGTCTTAGGGGGCCAATTGATTTTGATGAGGAAGAAGAGGTTCAAGAGGTTGAAAAGGATGCACAACCTATTCAAAATCCGAAAGTAATTAGGAAAAAGGGTGAAAGGAATGATAGGCCAAAGAGCACTATTGAAAAAGCTTGTAATAAGGCCAAGGGGTGGAAGAAAAAAGTAGATAAATACAAGGGTGAAGTTAAAGCTACTGCTCAAAAGGTTTTTCAGGTACTTTTATGAATTTTTTGTGTAGTTAAGTGAATATTTTTGTATGGGATATGAACATACCTATATTTGTGTTTTATATTGGAAGTTTTAGATGATGATGGTGATCCTTTGACTTATTCACACCCAACAACAAAAGATTCAAGTCTTAATGTCCTTCCGAAACAGATGAATGGACAATCATCAATGGTAATTTTTAAAATACTTTCAATTATAATAGTATTCTGTTATTTTTGTTTTTGAAAGAATAGTATTCTATTATTAATGTTTTATAATATTTTTAGGGTGTTCAAGGTGCTAGTAAAAAGAGAAAAGTACCAGCAAATGATGCTCAAACTTCATCAAGGGAAAATACTTACAATTCACATGTAATCATTTATTTGAATTTTATGCTTAATTATATGAACTTTATGCTACAGAACCTGAACATTTATTTTACAGCGTATTAGACAACAATCTTCAAAGAATAACACTAATACCTCAACTAATGCTTCTCAGACTTCATTCTTAAAATTAATTATTTATGTGAACTTAAAGTTTATTAATATGAATTTTATGCAATACCATCTGATCATTTTTTTAATTTACAGGGTAATGGATGACAACCCTCTAAGAAAAACACTAATACGAGTAAACCTCCTTCATCAAGTCAATTTGGATATCAAGCTAAAAAAGGAAGTTTTCATTATGAGTACAACAAATGGTATCAGGTAAATCTGAACAACCTAGTTACGTTTATGAACATTTTCTTTTTATTTTTGAACTTAAGTGTTTTTGTAATTCTTTTTTATTTTATCTCGTTTTTTTAGTATTTTGATGCTGGGCGCAATGCTACAAATGAAGGGAGTGAAGTTGGTGGATCTTCAAATGTTTCACAATATAATGAAATGTTATCCATGTTTGATAAGACAATCAATGTTTAGATTTTTTAATAATTGACAATTTATTCAATTGCCTAAAAGTTGTAACAAACCAAATTATTACTTATTTTCATTTTATAAATGTTTTTGATGTCCAAGAATTAATTTACTGACTTTTTCAGAGAAAGATGATCAATTAGCATTATATAAGTGATCTACCAATATATAATAATGAGAGAAATTTCAAATTTAAATGCAAAATATCATGCGAATTGATGTTTCAAGTCATAAAAGGAATCCACAGCTATTAAAGTAAGTTGTCTTTGCAAAGTTATTAACTATAAAAATTAAGTTGATTCTTCCATCCTTCGTCTTGCAGCCATCTTTATTCTGTATGCTTCTCTGTTGGTATTGCTTAGTAATATCTCAGCACAATACTTCACTCTTAGCTTTCTGATTTGATCAATTTGGAAAAACGTATGAACATAGATATTTAAAATATGAACAAACACTCTATATAAATGAACATAGTTGTAAATTGAATTTTAAAGGAGTTGAAACCTTACATTATCAGCTTTCAGATCACAAACCCATTCTACTGAAGGTTCTGATGTGTATGTTTCCATATGCTTCAACAAATAAACACCACAATTCTTATGGTCCCAATTGCTCCTCCAATTCATTTTTATCAAGTTAGGCTTGAAAGCTTTTATTTCATCCAATTGTTTTTCATTGTAAGTTTGGCTTTTCAAAAACCCTATAAAAGCTTCAAGCTAATTTTTAAAATACACATTCAATAGTTAGTTATAAGGAAATGAACATTAGAAATAAATTAGTGAAATTCACATAAAGTTCAAATGAAAAAAGATGAGTATTTAATATTTACCATTTTTATGGGAGAGGTACCGTATTTGTCTTTTGCTTTCATATTCATGGGAAGCTTTCTGTTATCAATCATATCAACAGTGGCATTATACATGTTGAAGCAAACTAAGTAGAAGTGGTTAAATGCTGACACTGGGAAAAAGAATTGTTTGACTTCTTTTATTTTTTTGATACCGCTGTTTTTCATTTCAATTTGAAGTCTGGAAATGAATTTTGAAATTCTTTTTTTCATGTCACCCTCTTTCTGAACAATGTGGTCTGTGCACACTATCACCTGCATATAAATAAAAAAACATATATAAATAAGTACCGATATATGAACTTTTAATAAAATATTAATGAACTTCTAGTTTTAATATATAAACTTATAATAAAATATTAAAGAACATCAAATATATATGAACGATTAATAAAATATTAATGAACTTCTAGTTCTAAAATATGAACTTACATAAGGAATTGTGCTGAAGTTAATGCTGTTTTTTCGACACTTGTAATTTAAAATTGTAGCCCAAGCATCAATAATGGAATTGTCAATTTCTTCATCTGTGCCTAGTGTCTTCATTTGAGATCTGTTAATACTAATTTGTCCATCAAAGTACATCACCTCACTTCACACGCAATAAACAAACAAAACAATCCATTTTAAAAAAATGAACAATAAAAATGAACAAAACATATTATTTTAGGAACAAGTAATATAATAATGAGCAACTTACTCCTTAGGACCATCATTGAATGCATAGTCAGAAATTGTTGCATTCATTGCATTCACATCCTTGAATAAATCTTTGTATTTTACCATGAATGGTGATTTGAGACAAGCAGGCAAATTGTGAACTTGTCTTATAGGTCGTTTGCCAATTTCAATTTCACTACATAAAATAACATTGTTAGTTTATAAAAGGTCAAAATTATGTAAATGGGGGGTTTTTTTTTTAATTTTTTTTATTCACCTTGCTGTTTTGTCCTTTGACACATTTCTGCAAAACATGAATAATAAGTAAAAGTGATCAATATGTGAATATAAATGAACAATTGTTTAATATAAATGAACATAAGTTTTTTCAATTTTTTTACCCTGGATTTTTCGCTTATCCTTTAGATCTGTCAATAGATGAACATAATATAAAACAAAATGAATATCAAACAATAATAGATGAATATATATAGTAAAACAATATTTTCATAATATAATTTATAAGTTTCATAGAATATATAATAATTTTCGATGTCCAAAAAATTTACATTACCTTTTCTAGTTTGTTCATCCAAAAAATTAACATTAGTTTTCTCTTTACATTACATGGACTACCTTAGCTAGTTATGAAAAAATATATATCATAGTTAGGAGTCACATTACCCTGCATATTGAAATTCTGGATTCAATGGGTTGTTCAAAATGTCCTCAAATGTAGGGTCTTGCGTTTTGAACATATGATCAAATTCCGATGCTTCAATCACCGGTTGCTCCTGCTCCACACCTACACTACTTGACCCTCCCATACCTAGCCCGAGGTTCAAATCAATGTTTTGTCCAATTTGTGTCTCAGTTGGATGAACCATCGGACTAGGAGTTTGTTCTTTGTCGATCCCTAAATTCCAAGCATTTTGTGGATCGAATGACTCTCTTACTTTTCTTCTTCCCCTTTGCCTCTTCTTTTTCTCTTGCTTTCTTTTCAGCTTGTACCTTCTCCAAATACTCCTTTTCAACCTTATCTAAAGCATTCAAGAAAGAATCTGTTCCAAATAATTCTTCATCTTGACTCAAAATTGAAGGATTTGAAGGATCCTTAAATTTCTTTTGCATATAATCTCCCACTGTTTTGTAAAGAAGATTGTTTGGGAAAAGCTCTTCAGCATGTTTTATCATTTCACACAGTTTTTCACAATTCCCACCCATAGTTCTGACCACATTAATAAACTCTTTCTTAAATTCCTCCTACAGAATGAACATACATAACAGACATTATGAATACAATGCCTTCAAATATGAAAATAAAATATAAAGAAATAAAAGATAATATCATTATGAAATATAAGCATTAAAAAGTGAATATACAAATAAAATTAAAGTGAACATAATCATGCAAAGTATGAACATATGCATAAGTTCCCTAAAGTGAATAAAAGATTTTCAGAAAGTAAACATAGGTATGAAAATATGAACATAAGCAATTCTAAATGTGATCATATGCATTTCAAAATATGAACACAACCATCGTTTTCTTTAGTGAATGTGAACATTTTAGAAAAGAAATTCCTACCATTAACCAATAGAATGCAGGTCACAAATCACTACACAAGTAGGATGCTCTTTTCCTAACTTTCTACCATTAAGATGAACAAAACCTGAAATAGACAAAGCTACAGGCTACAAGAACTTGAACAAACCAAAGAGACTTGTTTCATCATTATCATAGAAGAAAGCGAGACTGAAGATAGACCATATCTTGCATCCATTTCCTCCGATTAGAAAAGAAGGCTGAAGTTCATAACACCAACAATACTAATGTCTACTAGCATCAAACAAATAGATGGCAACAAGTGCTTAGAAAAATGAAATATTTGTAACTAATACCAAACTAGATTAAAAATAAGCATTCAAAAACAGATCAATGAAGATAGACCAAAACATATCAATGAAGATAGAAGAAACAGATCAATGACTAAATCAGCCAAAGCCAAGGAAATAGGTCTGTAAAACTATACATAACTTAGATCAAACCAGATATGAACATTATAAATAAAAATAATAAACATGCAATAATATAGGTATATTTTCTAATCAAACCTTGGCCGTTGGTATATTAGTAGATTCTTCTTGTGTTGTTTTCCTTTTGATTTCAACTCTAAGCAAAATATTACACAATCCAACTCCATGGCTCTCTAACTTCATCCTTTCGGCCACCATATCCTTTGTCCATACAGATATGATAGGAGGAGTTCTTGGTGGCATGATGCTTTTCTTTTGAATGCGATCAAAGTAAAACAACTGAAAAAAAAATACAGAAAAAAAATCATCAATTAGCATATATAATAGAATGAATGTAAAGTTAAAAAAATGAATATATAAATTACATAAAGTGAACATATGCATATAGAAAGTGAAAATAAGTTGTATTGAATTTATAGGCTCATGTTTATATGCATTACTTGTATACAAAATCTGAACATACCAATCAATGAACATACCAAAATATGAACATGAATATACGCATGAACATATCCATTCCAAATATGAATATATGTATACAAAATATGAACATGAATATTCTCCATGAACGTGAACATACAAAATATGAACATACCTATCAATGAACATGAACATAACCATTAATGAATATACGCATAAAAAATAACGAATATACGCATAAAAATAATGAATATAATAAAAATATGAACATAGTATATATGAAAATGAAAATAATGGCGTATACCAGAAGAAAATGAAAATAATGGCATATACCAGTAGAAAAGGCAGAGGTCCTTTGTAAAACCCTTTTGGATTCAATTTCCAAGAACTGCTTGTATCCATTAAGCTATCAAGGACATACTTGCACCAATTGTATTCCTTGATTTCAAACACATTCTTAATTGAGAACAGAAACTTGTAGTGCAAGTGTATGCTTTGGCTGCTTTTCATGAAGTAATTTACAGCCAACACAATGAAATCGATAATGAAGATTTCATCAACTTCACCATTGTTCACTTTTGCAGGTTCTGTGTTCATTTCCAGTTTCCTTTTGTTCATCTTTCCTTTCATGATTTCCATCTTTTTCTCTTTTTCTTCCTCATACTCATATTTCTTCAGAACAATGTGTGTTTTAGGGCTACCAGACATAAAACCCCAATATTTCCTCCATCTAGTCAAAGGAGTCTCTTCTTGTTCCTCATCTTCTACCTCCTTCACTTCTTTCTCCCCTCTCGGGATTCCATACACAACTTCAACATCTTCTTCACAAACAACAATAGATTTGTTGTACGGAATATAAAGTGTGCGGCTATTCTCTTTGGAACAATGCATAAGCCAAGCATAAAATGATTGGTCATTTTGTGGAAGATTTACATCGAGTAAAGCTCCAAATCCCATGTCAATAATTGCTTGCTTTTGAGAAGGGCTCAAATTTGATGCAAATGTCATGAATTTGAAATGCCCAACCCTCACTTGTAACTTACCATAATCATCCAAATCTTCAGCATCATCAAGATTTACCACCTCATGTACATCTTCATTTGCATCTCTCTTTCTTTTTTTATGTGCTTTCTCATTTTTTACACCATCAACTTTCTCACTTTGTTTCCCCTTCACCACCTTAACTTTTTCAGTTTTCAGAGTTTCCTTTTCTTTCACACCTCCATCTTTCTCATTGTTTTTTTTTTGTGTTTTTGAGTTTTGCTTGTTCTGTTGATCTTTAGCTTGTGTACTCTTGCTTGAGGAGGCTTCCGAACAGTTGTTTGATGATTTCTTTTTTGTTGCAATATGCTTCACCCTAATAGAATAAATGTAAAGTTTAAAAAAATTAGTATATAAATTACATAAAGTGAACATATGCATATAGAAAGTAAAAATAAGTTGTATTGAAATTATAGGCTCATGTTTATATGCATTACTTGCAAGGTGAACATATGCTATTTCAAATGTGAACATAAACATTCAAAATATGAACATACCAATCAATGAACATGAACATAACCACTCAAAAAATGAATATAAGTATACAAATAATGAATATATGCATATAAATAATGAATATAAGCATTGCTTCTTTCGGATTATGCATTTTAAAATGTGAACATGCAACATACTATGAATATATATAGTGTTCTCAAACATGAACATGAAACATGCTGTGAATAAGTTGCTGCCCTTTTTCCCGTTCTTTTATCCTACACCCCACAACTCCTAATCCCACACCACTCCACTAACTCACCAACACTCCCCTGTTCCATACTTCAAAAAAAGAATATATGTATAAAACTAATGAATATACGCATAAAAATAATGAATATCCCTTTAACATAGCTGAATATGAATATATGCATTGTTTGTTTAAGATTATAGATTTTAAAATGTGAAGTTAAGAATGTAAACATGAATATATATATTTACAATGTGAACATAAGCATTTCATACCTTTTTTTTGGTAACTCTGTTGCTTTTGATTGAACCTTTTGTGTTTCTTTAGAAGGTTTTTCTGGTTGTTTTTCCCCTTCTTTTCTTTCATCTTTTGATCGCTCTTGTGGTTGTATTTCCCTTTCTTTTGGTGGTTCGACTTCATTGTCAACTCTGAGTAAAAAGTTGTGTAAAACAGTGAGCTTTATGAGGTAACTTCATTTCTATAAATCTATCAAATTCATTTGATGAAGGGTCGACATGCATTTGAATCTTAACCTACCAGTCTTTGTGGAGAGGTTATACATAATTTCTAGTAAAAATATAAAACAAGGAGTGATCACATAACCACTAAAACATGCAACAAACAAATCTAGTCTCATAGAAATTATCTTTTACATTAAGACTTGACCAAATAGATTGCTTTGCATAGCTTCAAATCACAAAGACTTGACCAACAATAAGGTTCAACGAAATTCAGTATAAGGAAATAAAATCAATAATGTGAAAGTATAACCATGAAAATTAAGACTGAAAGTGCAGTTACTCAAATGTTAATGTTGACCTCTAGGTTACTAACCTTAACATTAAGAACTCCAGAAAAGGAATTGTACCTCTGGAATATCAGAATTGAAATGTAAACAAAAAAAATTTCAAAATTGTTGTACTCAGCATTACATACATGACGGGAGATCTTCATGTTGCTCCTAAGAAATCAGTTTTCTATGTAAAAAGATTGAATGACTAGATCTCAGCTAAAAATTTGTTAAGGATGCTGCTAAATTATGCAATGGACAATGAAAATGTTCAAGGACAGCATCAGATTAGATTATAATGTCAGGTTCAATAAGTTGCAACATCTGCTAGTTAGGAAATTGGTATGAAGCAAACCCTATTTGCTCCTAGATCAAAGGGTCAATTCAAGAAATCATTGTACATGGAATTTGGCTGAGTTATTATATGAGTAACTTGTTCTTAATCTTTCCGATTCTGACATGTCCTATAATGTGCCTTTAGTTCATATATTATGAATGCATAATAAGAAGCAATTACATGGAGTTATAATTCAGTGCATATTTTGTGAATATAGTGTGCCTTTAGTTCATATATTATGAATATTGTGAATATAGTGTTCTCAAACATGAACATCACTATTCCAAATATATTATTCATTGCATATTTTGCTACCCTTTTTCCCGCTCTTTTATCCTACACCCCACAACTCCTAATCCTACACCACTCCAACCACTCACCAACACTCCCCTATTCCATACTTCATCTCCCTCCTCAAGAAATCAACAAAAAATACCAACATAAATTCAAATTCACTAAAATATACAAACATTGTTTTGATTTTTAATTTTCGTACAAAATTTCAGACATAATTCACTAAAAGATTCACCAAAAAATATAAACATTTGCACTGAATTTCAGTCAAAATTCCCTAAAAATACAAACATTTGCACTGAATTTCGGACAAAATTCACCATAAAATTCACCGAACAACAACAAACATGAAAATTAGGATCAAAACATGAAAATTCACTAAAATAAAAAAATGAATGTACATGTTGTTTTGATTTTCCTCTTCTTCAACAACTTGTTTCGAAATCTCATTGAGTAATTTTGGATCTACAGTATGACTCTTTGCCAGTTTCTTCTTTTTGGTGCCAAACATTTTATTTAGCGGCCTATTCAAGAAAATTAGGGTTTCTATCAACAATTTATATATTAATAATTACAATTTAACACCACAATGAAATTTTAATTTATAGAAATAGCAATCAAAAAATAAACATCTAAACTTACATATCTTCTTGATTTCCAGTAGATTTTGAAGTATTTTTTGTTTTTCTACAAAAACAATTGAATTACATGCGTTAGTTTATGAATTCACCCACAAACAACAATTAATCTAAACAATTTTTTACAAAGAAAAGAGAAAAAAAATGTAACAAACTAATCTAAATTTTTTTTCATATAATGTAACACAAATTTCATAGTTTCGAAAAATTGAATTTCGAAAAACAGAGTTTCGAATGTTTCAGATGAAAATTCACTAAAAAAATGTAAATTTCGGGCAAAATTCAGTGCAAATATACCTCTTCTTTGGATGATCCTTCTGATTTTGCATTTCATCTCTTATGTCCATTGTGATTTTTCCACATTTTTAGTGAGAGAATATGAACTAGAGGAGAGAGAAAATAAGAGAGTAGAAGAAAGTTTTGAATAGAAGTGACATTACTTCAATGTGGGTGGGGGTACTGAATTTTCCGTGTTTTAGGGTCCTTTTTTAATTTGGGCGTGTGTAAGTGGGCTTTGGGCTGCTGTTACACCTATGTTAGGTGCACAAGGTTGTACCTTAGACCAATTGGAATAATGAGGAAGTTATGGCTAAATTACTAAACTAGGCCCGGTTTGAGCCTTATATGCGGCCCAATGATCTAGAGGAGGGCCTAATATGGATTTATCATTCCTAATGCAATTAGGGTTGGTTTTAGTCTTCTAGCTAGATTCTTCTAGAAGGCTCTTTTCATTCCTAATTCAATTAGTATTGATAAATTGACTTTTGTTGACTTTTTTGAGTTTTAATCAGAATAAAAGAGTGTTTTTAAGGAAAATACGACTTTTCCCTTCTGTACGGCTAAATTTTATCTGAATTTAGAAAACGCGTGAAAAAATAAATTAGCGCCTGACGACATACACTAGCACCTGGCGCTAATGCCTGGCGCTAGCCTTAGCGCCTAGCGCTAACTTCTGTTTTTATCGCCGAAACTCTGATTTGTTTTTCTATCCTTTTGGCTGATTTTCTCTATAATAGCCCCTTAAAATCTCCGTTTTTCATCACCAATTCTCAACAACTCTCTAATTCTCTTCTCCCTTGAAGCTTATTCTTATTCTTTCTCTCTCTTTTCTAAACCAACCCTTTTACAAACAAAATTCCGCATTCACAAGACTAAGAAACACATAGCATTGTTCGAAGTAACCTTCGCCCTAGACGTGAAAGGTTTTAATATTTGTGAGGGTTTGGTCCCAAAATCTCTAATTCAATTATTTAATTCAATTATTTGATTTTATATTTTCCTTGAAATTACTAGTGCGTGTATTTTGTTATTAGAAAGAGATACGAGGCATCCAAGTAAGTGCTTTAATTGATTTATTGATATTATGATATAGAAATCATGCTTAGGTTGTTATTATGATTCCAAGCATCATGTTAGGGTATTTTGATCTTCCTAGTATCATGTTTAGGGTAACAACTAAAAATTCCTAATGTCAAGTATGATTAAAAGTATGATGCCTTTTATGTTCTTTCCTAATATTCATTTTAGTATCATGTTAGGGTTAAAACTTTGATTTTTATTTGTTAGTGACATACTAGGGTTTGTTATTAATCTTGTTAGTATCATGCCTAGGATCTTGCTATTATTATGCTTTGACATGTTATGTTAATTATGATTAATTTTATTATTATGATGATTATTATTATGATGATTATTATTTATTATGTTGCTTGATTATATTTATTGTTATTTCTTGATCACACCTTTTATGCATGTTTAAAGGGAATTGGTACTTGTAATCACGCTTAATAAGATAATTAATAATCTTGTTTAGGGTTAATTTGATTATAATTCAAGTGATCGCCAATAATAGGTTAGTTTGTGCATTAATATTCAACCAACATAGATAAACATGTTTAGGGTTAATCCTATAGATTGCATGTTAGTCAGAAAGCGCACATGAATACGATAAGAATAAAGTATGGGCCTATTATTAGGGCAGGTTAAAACTCTTTTAGGTTGGATTTGTACCTTCATCCCCGAACTACCAGTCATGGTTCCAAACCTATTGGAGTTGACGATCTCTTGGATCGTTAAGGGGTGTAACCTTCACCCTCTGAACGGTTTACAAGTTCCTAAAACTTGTTGGCGACTCTTTTGCTCTATTTTCTTTCCCTTTGGACGCCACCGTACTTTAGTGTATGATCATAGTGGGGTTCAAGCTAGGGATTACGCTTGAAATATTCCCTACAGTTTTTTGGCGACTCCACAGGGGAGGATTTCTATTTTAATTCCTGAAATTTATTTTGGCAATGATTTAGAATGAGTGGATGAGACTCAAAAAGTTCTAAGTATTTCATGAGCGTAGTTTTGATTAACAATATTGTCATATGCATAAAAAAGATCTCATTGGAAAGACCATCCGTAATAAGTTAAAACATAGGATTTTTACACATAGGAAATTTGAGGAATATCTTTCACAACTAGGATTGAAATAATGCTGAGCGAAACTGGAAAAATTTTTCGAGCATAGAAAGCTGCTGAGGCAGGTAGGAACTAGCATCAGGGAACAAAATCTAGTGCCAATAATTTGACGTTAGCGCCAGGCGACATCTTCTGTCGCCAGACGCTAAACTAAATTGTGGCGCTGGACTCTGTTTGCTGGCGCCAAGTTCTTACAATACCGAGCCAGAAATATGCGTTTTAATTTCGACCTATTTTTAGCACTGTTTGCTCGATCCTACTTCTTGATTGAGTTTTTTTTTTCACTTTTCTGAAACCCATATGTGTTCTACATATGGACATAACCCTCTGGGAATTCATGCTCCATCTACCTGATTGAACGCTCTGAGCAACAAAGGGTACATCCGAGAATGTTGAATTCACCAAACCATGGAAGTGAGTTTTTCTTAACTCGCGGTGTCTCATCCACTCGTGCCAACCCTTCACGGTTAGGGTTCCGCGCGGTGCATCCGGAAAATTAACCATGGACCCTCTTTGACTAACCCATATCCCGAACTTTAGAGAACTAGAGCCATGGTTAGGTTGCAAACTCATTGCATCATGTTGTGCCTACGTGACTAATTGTGCATTATTAGTTGTGCATCCTCTATGTGATTTTTCCTAACCGTTGTGTTAATATCAAATAAACTAATTTATGACTAAAAGAACTTTGCCTAATTAACTAATTAATTAATTAATTTGAGTAATTAAAGTTTAATAATTTAATCAGAGTTGACTTAGTACGACTTTAGGCATACCCTGTAGAGTAATAATGCCGAAAGCAGTTCCAGATCGACGTTCCAGCAATGGCGCCAAGATTTAAACTATAGCGCCAC